TAATTACAACCGTAGATTTTAATTACAATGTTTCTATGGATTTACCCGAGGTTTCGGAGGGAAGGCATCGGTGTCCTCTTATCTCCGACATATATATATATATATATATATATATATATATATATATATATATATATATATATATATATATATATATATATATATATATATATATATATATATATATATATATATATATATATATATATATATATATATATATATATATATATATATATATATATATATATATATATATATATATATATATATATATATATATATATATATATATATATATATATATATATATATATATATATATATATATATATATATATATATATATATATATATATATATATATATATATATATATATATATATATATATATATATATATATATATATATATATATATATATATATATATATATATATATATATATATATATATATATATATATATATATATATATATATATATATATATATATATATATATATATATATATATATATATATATATATATATATATATATATATATATATATATATATATATATATATATATATATATATATATATATATATATATATATACGTACGTAGCCACAAATCAATTTGAATCACGACAGATAAAATAGGTAGCAATAATGTCTCCACGAACATTAACATAATTTATTGGAATTTACATAAAAGCCAAAGAATGTTTCAATGATACGGCGTTTTGTCGAGTTAGATAAATATGAATCGTGTGTTTGAACAAGTTCGGTCGTGTTTCACGTGACGAAAAAGGAAATCACAAGACAAGATGTCGCTTCGTTGGAAGCAACAAATCGCAATACGAGGAAGGAAATTGGGTGACACCGGGAGGATTACGAGGGATGAGAAATCTGTCGAGAGCGTGAAAGGCTCGCGGTCACCGAGTTTCTCCAGTTCTGTCGCTTTTAACGCCCAGTTCTTCCGCTTCGAGGATAGAAGCTACGAAATGTCGAGGCCATTATCCAAAGATTTTCAAGAATATCCGATGCAACGTCTTGAAATTTACGAGAGCAAGTCTGATAAATTCTTATCTCTGGTCCATTCCTGGCCAATTTTTTAATACCCTCGTAACTTGTAACGACAAATAAAAATATTGGTACAGGCCAATTTTTTTTTGGATAAAATTTTGTGTGAATTTACAAAAAATACGATTCTTCGTTTAATTTTTTTCCCTTATTGTCTCTATATATTTGGAGTTTAAACGCGTTATAAGTACGTTTTGTTTTTTAACATGATTACGTAGAATTCTTATTCTGAATAAATTATTTGTTTCCGCTTCGTAACTGTTTCTAAATTACAGTGCATTTAATCCTGAAATGCACAGTAACATTTTATACTTTTTACGTTTTAAGGAATTTTCAGGATCGGTTAAAAATTAAATTACAGTAATGGTAATACTCAATATTAATGTCAGACGTGAATACTTCACTGTTTTGTATAATAATTTTTTATCTTGGCATCGACCAAGATATTTAATATACAAAGCGTACAGATTAATAAGAATTTTAATTAATCCTTCTTCTATAGTATTCACCGTTCTTTTCGAGCTCGTACCATTTCAAATAGACTTTCGAATAGATTTCAAAGATTTGTCTGTTCAAATAAAACGCGATCTTTTTTATTTCCCTATCAGTCGTCCCGTTACTGTTCCGTTGTTTCCAACAGATTGCAGATTCGTTTAAAAAACATTTGTAACGAAAAACAAACCCACTCGCAGAAATGTTATCCAATATCGCATTTATAACTTTCATAGACATTCTCCTCTCATTGCTATCATTGTAAACAGATCGAAACTTGTTTGAAGACGGAGTCTTGTTTCGGTGGCATCGTTGGGACGACGAGCAGTCTTGCTAGAGAGCTGATCGGCGAAGGAAGTCGCGTCTTACGAGCAGGAAGTGGTGCACGTGTGAGTTAGAGCAAGGGAACCTGTCCTCCCTTTGGCCGAGGATTCGTTATCAAGCCTAGTCACTAGTGTCGCCTGCGTGTGTCTGCTGTGTACCCGCGCCTGTTCCGTAACACCCTCCTATCGACAATAAAGGTACTCCACGCGCGACCGGACGATGGACAACTCCAACACGGAATCGCAATCTCCCGATAGCCCTGTCCGGGAGGACGCCTCGAGCTCGGACTCGGAGTGTGACTCGAGCTCGGATTCGGATTCAGACTCGACATCAGAAGAGACATCCGAACACACGTTGTCGGCACGGGATCGTAAGAGTATCGTGCGCGCACTAAAGCGGTCGCTAGGGAAGAAGAAGAGGAAGAAGAGGAAGAAGAAGAAGAAAGGACACCGGGCAACCTGGGTATCGCTACCGCGCTTCAACCCCGAAGCCACGGACGCAGATCCAGCCGCCTGGTGCACAGCCGTCGGCCTGCTCATGAGGGACCACCCCCTGAAAAACAGCGCACTGTATTCTGCCCTAAACCGTGCCCTAGAGGGTCCGGCAGCGTATTGGCTTACGCAGATAATGAACGGCGAAGAGATCACCTGGCCAGATTTTAAGGAACAATTCACCGCGCACTTCGGTGGCCAAGAAGTAGCAGCCGCGTCGCTAATCAAGGTAGCCGAGGAACTACCGCGGGACGCCGAAACACCAGGGGCGTACGGAAATCGTATCATCACCCTCCTGGGGTCGAAGTGGCGAAATTCAACCAAGGAAGAAATACTCGCCGCTACCGCCCTCCATCTGCTGGGCTTGCGCGACGAACGTTTTAAACGACTAGCGCTCACGAGTGACATCACGTCGGTGAAACAATTTCAAAAGGAAATGAAGCCCTTCCTATACGTGGAGTGGCCAACGCCCCCGCCGTGGAGGTCATCAGCGAGCTCCGGAAGCAAACGAGGCAGGTCACCCACCTCCTGGACCAGGTGTGGCCACTGCGGTATTTACGGACATCCGACATCTGAATGCCGCAAGAGGGCGAAGTGGGAACCGAGGAAGGACCCCCGACGCCTGGAGGAAAGCCGACACGCTGCATCGCTAAAAGCGTTGTGCTTTCGCTGCCACGAGCCGGGACACATCGCGTCTCGCTGTCCATCGCGGCGAGAAGAAAAACATCGCCCCGAGAACGAGCGCGGGGTCGATGTCTGCATGGTGGAAGCCCCGACGGGTAGACTAAGCCAGCAGGCCACACACGAGGACGTGTGAGTGTCAGGATGGCCGAGCTGGAGACGAAAGGACGCCGGGGCCCCTCTGGAACTTCAGGACAACACCCTAACCTTGCAACCTAGAGCCTAATATAGCCATAACGAAACAATCGCAAGTATCCAAACCGATAGCAATCGTACGGCATTAGTGATGGTGAACCTCGGTTCGGGGCGACAGCTCGCCGCTCAACGTAGCCGCGGTCAACGGGACGGGCGCTCCGTCGAACAAAGGTGCGGAGCGGTGCTATGACCCTCATAAAAGGAACTACCCATGGAGGTATCGGACAGTAAAACATGCTAACGGTTCCCTAGAACAATGAATACCTGACGTTGAGGCACGTACACAACACAAGTCCCGGCAGCCTGAGGACCCGCTATAAAACCTGGTTTTTTTCGGCAATTGAGATGTTCTTGCAAACAGACAAGCGGCTTTTGTCCGAAATCAACCAATCGACAGCGAAGTCTTGTTTCAGTGGCTTCGTTGGGACGACGAGCAGTCTTGCTAGAGAGCTGATCGGCGAAGGAAGTCGAGCGCCTTACGAGCAGGGTGCACGTGTGAGTTAGAGCAAGGGAACCTGTCCTTCCGTTGGCCGCGGATTCGTTATCAAGCCTGAGGCCCTCGTCACTAGTGTCACTATCAACAATAAAGGTACCCCACGCCCGACCGGACAATGAAGAACTCCAACGCAGAACCGCTACCTCCCGCGAGCCCTCCCCGGGAGGGCGCCTCGAGCTCGGACTCGGAGTGTGACTTCAGCTCGGATGCGGATTCAGACTCGACATTTATGTCTATTATATCTATACTATACTACTTATATCTATACTATATGTACTTATATCTACAAATATATGTATAAATATATCTATTTAAAAAAATTAAGTTGACTTTTATATATCCCCAATAATATCGCGCGCGTAAAAAGAAACTAATTACATTTAATTCTTTTTTTATAAGTAATTACATTTAATTATTATTTTTTTCAGAACAGAATAGATCTCGTTTGAAATATTTTTTTGACATAATTAATTGTTTCAAAAACACATATTCCAGCTTTCTAAATGATTTATTTTGCGTATTATATGAATTATTCCATCTATAAATAAATTGTTCTCTATACACACAAACACGTACACAGTTTGTTGATTACACGAGTTAATTGTAACATTTTCCCCAATAAGGTGCCAGGTCAGGAAAGATGAGCAGCGAACCAACTTACAAACTCATCTACTTTGATGCCCGTGGTCGTGCCGAGCATATTCGCTACATATTTGCGTATGCCGGCATGAAATATATCGACGAAAGGATACCTGACGAACTCTGGCCCGAATTGAAGGATTGTAAGCATGGGGAATCGATGTTTACTTTCATCGTTCAACTCTCAGATATCTACCATTTACTCAAACTGTTCTATATAGTATAGTATAGTAGAATAGTATAGTATATAGTATATAGTATAATAGTAGAGTATTATATAGTATATAGTATAATAGTAGACCATTTACTCAAACTGTTCTATATAGTATAGTATAGTAGAATAGTATAGTATATAGTATATAGTATAATAGTAGAGTATAGTATATAGTATATAGTTATAATAGTATAATAGTTCTATATAGTATAATAGTATAATAATAATAATCCGTATGAAAGTAAAATTTCATACGGAATAAAGTCGAACTTTTCATTAAGTTTTGCTTCCGTAATATCGTGTTGCAATCTTTAGTGTTTTCAATGAATCGAAGCATTTTGAATATTTTGAGAAAACCGTAAATAGGTGACTTAAAATAGGAATACAAAAATACTTCTACGTTTCTCGTTAATTTAAAAAATTTTTAGGACTTGTCGGAAAAAAAGGATAAAAACTTGAAATCAGTTCGGAAATGAACAAGAACATAGCTAAAAAGTCGAAAGAACGAAGCAGACATAAAATTCGATCTTCCGTTGCGACATTTCTATCGTAAATAGTATAATAAAAGTTTTACGCAGCATAGTCTTCGATATAATCTTATATGTCGCTTGCAGATAGAGAAACAAAAAATCAACGTATGTCTGTAAATCAATCATGTCGGTGTAAAACACGAAATTACGTTCGCAAGAGACATTCGATTTATATTCCTTGCATTTCAATTTTCATTACAAGAACGGTGTACATTTTCTAATATTTTTTCCGTGCCTGGTATTATGCGACGTGAATTTTTTATTCGCAGTTGTAAGTCCACTATCATTGTATAAGGTCTTCCCGCAAAACGATACTGATCGTTCCTCGTACATTCAGTACACCTCATCAGACAGATTCGTCCCTTTCCGTTCATCGTAATCGTAAGAAAAGAAAAAAAGGAGAAAGAAGACATTTCTATATTTCTTTACTAGGCCATGTTAATTAAAACCGAAATGATTTCGATTCATCTATTCACAAGAACGCAACGGCCTCGGAAGCTATGTTGTGATTTCCTACCGATCGTTCCCCACTACATGGTCTTCATATGAGCTATGTTTTTTCTTAGCAATGCCTTATGGACAGCTGCCTGTGCTGGAGATAGACGGGAAACAGGTAGCGCAAAGTCACGCTGTGGGGCGATACTTGGCGAAGAAGTTCAATCTAACAGGAAAGACCGACTACGATGCGATGCAGTGCGACATGCACATCGATTCTCTTGAAGATTTGAAGCAATGTGAGTAACTGATGAGATGACTTTGCATTTGTCTCACCACAGAGACAGACGTTTGAGAATTCATTGTGAAAAGACGAGTACAAACAAGATACGTATGTTTTTCCGTTAAGCGAATGTTACAGCTAGTTTGCAAAAGTCAGTTTTTAGATTATAGAATCGTAGATAGAATTTAGAGGATAGAAAATTTTAGTAGTCACTTTTAGTTTAGTAAAGTAATACATCTCTATTCTCTTTCTTCTTTTCGTTTAAAATATAAAAACATCGGCGTCTTATCGGCGTTGATCGCATAAATATAAATCGAAGGGAATGGAATCGCTCGAAACTCATGCAACTATCCGCAGGTGTTTAAAATCGTGTTTTTACACCGCCAACGTAACGTCACGCCAGTCGAATCGAAAAATTATTACTAGACAGAGAAGGTGAATAAAAAACGAGGTAAATAGGCTACCGATTGAATAATATCATAACGATCGTATCTCTGGTTTATGCTCGTCTTTTATATTTGTTTCAAATGTATAAAATATAATCGTATCGATATCGTCCACGATTAAAGCCATCCATCCGCCATCGACGAGGAACGAACGATTATATTTTATCATTTATGCGAATCTTTTTCTTTTCTTCTTTCTCCATTTACGCCCCTTGCCTTGCTTCGTACCGCCGATGATTCACAATTCGATGCACCTGAACAGCTGGAACATCGCAGATTTTTCCGTACGATAACAAACGTGTTTTGATGGCCTGCTTTAAACCGTGACGATCGCCATGACGTGCATCAATTGTCGAACGATGTAGTGCGATGATACTCCTACGCAACATTTTTTTACGCTGTCTCTTCCTCTATTTTTTCTTCCTGTGTGTTATGAGATGATCAGGAAATACCTGTATAGAAGATGCAAAGAGTCTGTGAAGAATTTACAGATATTTAAGATTATAATAATGATTAAGCAAAAGCTAAGACGCAAAATATTGCTCAAGATGTAATTATGTAATATTTACTCAATTTCTAAAAGACTGTTTATATCTTGTTGTTATTCTTGATATAGAGATAAATATAGTATACTTTATTAAGATCTAGATAAAAGACTTTTTCTCGTTTCTCTTTTCTTACTTAATCACTAAGAGTTATATAACCTTTATTATGAGTTATATAACCTGACCTATCCACAAATGGTTGTTTATATATTGGTACCTTTAATCAAACTTTAATAACAGTACTTTACTCGTCAGAAGTAAATAAAAAAGCTCTAAGTAGAAGCAAGGATTTATTTACCTTCCGTTTCTAATCTCAATTAGCAATGTTGTTCCTCTTGAAAGATTTTCCAACTTTCCAAGACAATTCCCACGCTGGTAATATATATTTACGCTGGTATATATATTTCAAGTATCGTGAACCACACGAACTTGTCGAGGCAATACTGAAAAAAGCAAAGAGAATGAAGAAATTGTAGGAACTATGAGAGGCTTCTTTTACAACTTATTTTCTCTTTGTTTGGGGGGAAAAACACAAATGAACGTAACGGTTGGTTTCATATATGTTTCAGATATAAACATCTATCGCGTTGAGGAGGACCCCGAAAGGAAGCAAGCGAAGAAGATGGAACTTTTGGAGCACACAATACCATATTACATGAATAAATTTGATGAGCTTGTTACCAAAAATGGTGGAAATATCGTTCCTGATGTTGTAAGATATTTTATGCAAATTTAATGTTAAAATTTTTACTCTTTGTGCAAACTGGACCATGTTGTCCATAAAAAATTATTGAAACTTTGTTGAGATAAGACAGCTTTAATTGTTGAGAGCAGCGTGTATCTTTAAAATTCACTCCTGTTAGTTTATTATGTACAAATGAATTTGCCAAGATTTTCAGCTTTTAGATAATTATTCATGTATCTTCCTCATCAAGGAAGTTTGATAGAAATTATTACTATCGTAATCAAAGCAAAGATTAAGATATGTAAAATCATTTCTCTGGATATAACACTCTTTTTTAATGAGTGATAAATGATACCATTCGAAATATCATATATATATATATATATATATATAATATATAATGATACTTATAAGTGTAATCACTTAAGTACAGATATCTGAATTTTTCTCACTGTCACTGACATAGATACGTATTGTAATATCGGAATATATTAAAGGTGTAATTTTGTCCGATTAATTATAATTTATTAATAATGGATTGAAAATATAGATATTAGTTAGACAGAGAAACGATGTTTGATTAACAGGAAAACTAAATGCAACGCTCGTATTTACATCAAATAACTTGACAACTATTTGGTAACTCTCTCTCTCTCTCTCACTAGCAACTCTGACACTCGACGACACTCGCAACTCAATTCTAACGACTCTACGCTTCGACGTCTCGATCAACTCTGACCCTCGCCAATGCATTCCTGCTCGGTCGTGCTCGCTCTTGCTCTCGTCCTCTCTCTCTCTCTCTCACACACACACACACACACTTTTCGGCTCACATACTCTGGCCTCTCGATTGCCACTCCTTGAAATATGAAACCGTACCTTTGTTCTGACGCTGCTTATCTTTTCTCGCGTCACTGTTACTAGGCGCTCTTGGACGTAAACAAACCACAAAAAGACGACGTGTACGCGGTGTTTTCTAATTTCAGCCGATCTCCAATCAAAGCTATTCTACGATATTACGATATACATATATTATTATTATCGTTCTTTAGATTACTTGACCAGTTTATTTCTTTCATCACTGTGTTATTATATAATAATAATAAATAGTCACATTAAATTAATTTAGTATGATTATGTTGTTTAATAATACGTGTTTCATTGCAAAATATTTAGCGATTGAAGGGCTCATAGGAAACATGAAAGTGAAAGAATACTAGAATCTAGAGTTTACGATTTCAATTTCATATTACACAATTCCTGTAAATGTATTTGTAATTATATTTATGCCGAATGTATATATTTATATATATTTATATATATATTTATGCCGAAGAATTGTATTTAATTAAGCTATGAAGTTGTGGAATCGTGAGAAGGATTATTTTTATAGAACTGTCTAATTTCCATTCGACATTGATTCAGGATACACATTGCTCTCTTTTACATAATACCAGTTTTGTCATTTTTAATTAACAAATACCCCCAAAGGTTGAAGTTTCTAAAATTATCCATTAAATTCTGACAATAAAATAAAAATCCAAATTCTTCCTAAAAAGCTAGTGATCTTTAGTTAAGAGTTCGATTTTTCACATTTTTCGAGGTAAAGTAAAAAAATTGTTTGATAGAGGAGGTGCAAAATAAATGTATACAAACATTTTTTCAGACGACATGGGCGGACTTCGTGTTTGTAACGGCCCTTGAAAGTTACGAGCTTATATTTGGGCCATATGCTCTGAATAAGTATCCAGGTCTTCGTGCGTTACAGAAAAAGATTAATAGTATACCAGCTATCGCAGATTGGCTGGCTAGACGACCATTCACAGAATTCTGAACATGTCAAGATTATGTAGATAAAAAGATGACCAGTACACTATATATATACACTGGCATCGCTATCAACAAATATTCAATGTACACGTGTAGTGAAATATAATAGTCCTACTTAAAAACAAATTTTCGTGTCTATATTTGTAGAATGTCATATAGTCTATGTAACCACAATTCACATCAGAGACCAGGCTACACACCACAGACAGGATAGCACCCAGATATCTGCATATCCTTGGCGCACCCTCAATAGTCTTAAGGGCCTTGGCTTTTTTATAGTTAAGGTCCTTCTACTGCCCTCACTTCCTTAACTTCCTCACTTCCATTAAAATTGTCACCCACAAATCCGATAGTCCCGTGTCCTTAGACACACCCACCCCTTTCCTCAGACACAGTATCGTCAACATAAAGATGACAAGAATCCATCTCCATCTATGTTAGATAGTAGTAAACGGAGCAGTCGTTATAATGTTGCTGCAAAGCCTGATACTTTGCCAAAATTTGAAGAAATTGTTTATAATCAAACCAATCGCCAAAATTTGAAGAAATTGTTTATCATCAAACCAGACAATCAAACACAAATAAAATTTTGCGAAGCGCTTTAAAGACGAAATTAATCGAAGACAAGTCTGAAATAATTAATAAACAAAAGGCATCGGAAAATGTAGAAAATAAATTTGCCAAAGAAGAAAAAAGAGGTGTTAAACAAAAATCAATTTCAGATAGTAAAAACGAAAACGATAGTAAAAGATGTAGTAGAAGATTCACAAGAATTATCTAATAAAAGTAAGTTATCAGAAATAAGGATTGCACTTAAGAAAATTGAACATACAAAAATTATTTTACGAAATAAAAAGAATTCATTAGAAAGAGAAAGAGGAGTAAGGGAAAAGAAGAAAATGTACAGACAGAAATTACCGCAAAAAATATACCAGATGATAAATGTGATTTACTTTAGAAAAAAAAAGAGAGAAAAAAAGAAAGAAAGAAAGAAAAAAAAATCAAGTTATAAAGTAAGCGCAAATATGATGTTCTTTGAAAATAAAAGATGAATTTGAAAACGTTAATGCACTTAAATTAAATTTGATTTGGACATATGTAACACAATTTGTATGAACAATGAGGAATCTACGAATCTACGAATTTTGAGCTAAAGTATTGATATATGTATCGATATTTCTGATCGTTGCGATATCTCTAATCAATATAAAGTTCTAATTAAATGTTATCAATTAAACGTTAAAAAACGTTAAAATGTGTATTGAATCGTTCTGATTGTAAAGATGTCAATTGATGTAATGTAATAATAAAGTCGTAATATAATAAAGATGTAATGTAATAAAATAATAAAGATGTAAAGTAATAAGATAATAAAAATAAATGTAAAAATAAAGAAACGAGTAGTTTAACGTTATTTTTCTCACTAACTGCTGGTGGCGGATGAGACTCGTCCACTTCGTCCCAGGACTACCGGTGGACTGGCGGACTCGTCAATAAAGCTACGCCCGGCAGTCCCTGCCTTAGACGTGGAGGGGGTCTTGCTGGGTGTGCTATTTATATCAATAGCCCTCTAGTGTTGGCGGTTGATATTCACAGCTCGACCTGTGGGCGTCCTGTTGATATTGATCCGCCACACCTTAATAGTTTCAATATTACTTTTCTTATATTTTTCTACTACATAGAAAAATACTATTTTAATCGCAATATATTTTATGTAGATATAAAAAAATTTCGTCTGTGGTATAATCTTTCTATTTCATTTATCGACAGAAGTACTTAACTACTGATTGATTATTATGTAATTGAGTATTATGATTGATAAAAATAGAAAATTTCATATAATATCATTGCTAATTTAGTCACCTAAATTAACATTGAAAATAAATAATTTTCTTTTATGCAAATCAATAAAAAACTCTAATAACATAAATTTATATATTTTCTATTTCCCAGCCACCAGTTTTATAGATTTTTCTATCTTCTGTACTACTTTTATCCCTTTTATTTTTTCTTACATGAGATTATTGTAAATTTAATATCATTTGTTCGCAATATTTGTTATTTATCTTTCTTTGAATTTGAAATTTCGCGCCTCAATGTTGTGTGTTGTTGTATATGAATACATACATAATCATTAAAGAATTTATAAACCTTACTAGTTTGTTTTTACTAAGTTTTGTTACAGAAAACATGTTCTCATAAATTTTCAACTTTAATTTATGGAAATTTATTAACTTTAAACTATAAAATCATTCAATGAGTCTTTCCGGATATCCTTATGTAGCCATAATTTCACATTTCAGCGCAGCTCCACCAATAGGATAAGAGTTACGTTGAAGCAACAGGGGGGAGAAGAACATACAGAGATTTAAAGATCAGTTTTGTCTCATTCAATCAGTTACCGTCGACCAACATGGAATTTCCCCGCGATTGTTCCGACTTTGAAGTCTTAAAAGAAAAATTAAGGTAAGTAAGTAAATAGTATATATATAGTATATATATCCTGAGTCAAAGTTTCTCTTTATAAATAATAAACTAGTTTATTATAGTTTAAAAACTATATTTTGTATGTTTTTTCCTTATTCATAATTAAATAATAAATATAAAATACTTCTACAGAAAGCCGACATCCTTCAATTAACCGAACAGCAGATGATTTAAAAATTAGTAGTTGAAAGAAATAAATGTTATTACATGTTCATAATTGATCGATAAATTTAAGTATACAATTAGAAAATGTTTCTTCTTTATTGATAACTAAATAATACAGATAAGATACAAGATATTTGTACGAAAAGTTGGCGCGTTGTTCAATTAAAGGAACAGCAGAGGATTTGAAAATTAGTAGTTGAAAGAAATAAATGTTATCATATGTTCATAATTGATCGATAAATTTAAGTATGCAATTAGAAAATGTTTCTTAAGTTTGGAAAAATATATAATCATGCTGAATGTTTTGTAGTTACGAAAGTTGTATACAAACATGCATTGTACATACGACTAGTAATGGTACTAAATTACTGTTAGAGGGTCTTGGGTGTATAGAACCATATGGTTAAATTAATACTAGAGATAACGAATCGCGCGAATGTAATTAATATTTTGAAATGCGTTGTTTGCATTAATTGATAGTTTTCTTATAAACTTTTTTATAAACAATTTCATTGCTATAGAAAAAAGATAAATGCCGGTAATATGTCTATCCTACTTAAATAGAAAGTGCAATATTTTGTTATAATATTTGGCGCAAGTTTATACATTATTACATCCAAAAATAATATTCTTTTTATATCTAAGCTATATTAAAATATAAAGATACAAATAGCTATGCGAGTAGTTGGTAGTTGATGCTTTTTACTTATATTGTCTTATACTTCATAATTTGTAATAATATAATTCTTGTCATCAATGATTCTTTGTTTTTACTTTGTATATATTATGCTTCCAGCCAGCTGCGGTACTATAAATTGACTCAGTTCCCAATTATGGCATTGGCAGAACCAATCCGTTTTATCTTCAGCTATTCTAGTATTCCATTTGAAGATGAATATATCAGAAAGGACGGCTGGGCAGAAATAAGCGAGTGTAAGCTTAAAATTTAAAGAAATTCTGTTTCTTAAATCTCATCTTTCCTAATTTAACTAAAGTAGCTAAATAAAGTAGAATACAATTATGCAGAGTACAACAGAGATTATTGTTTACTCCCACATTGCTCTATAAGATATGTGGGAGAACAATAAGTATTGTTAAGGAGACAATGCCCTTTGTTTGCTGATAAATTATCAATAAATTAAATTATATCTTTCCAAAACAGATAACAGGAAGCTAGATATTTAAGAAGCAACATAATCTGTTTGTTCGATAGAATCTTTGATTCTGTTAATTGTATGTTTTTAGTGGCTTCTTGTAACATGCTTCCTATGCTCATATTTGATAAAAGGCTGGTTGGTCACGCTACAGCTATTTGCCGTTTCGTAGCCAGACAATATGATTTAGCTGGAAAGACTGACTTGGCAAGTCTTCATATTGATTCCGTTGTTGATACTATTCATGATATTCGTTATAGTAAGTATCCAGTGCTGTTTTGCATAAAACTTATGAGAGTCTTGATAACAGATAGTACATATCTGTTCAGGTATTTATTAGTTGAAATCCGATTTAATATTTGATTTAATCGAACGATACACGTATGTCAACAATACAAAACAAAGGATTAAAAAGGATTGTAATTCTATCTTCAGTATCATTTAAATTTCGCACAACACTGTATTCAAATTAGTATAACATTAGCGAATTTAACTGAAAACAAATTTTCAGTAATTGCCGAGTTCTACTATGAGAAAGACGAGAAGTACAAAGCTAAGAAACGCGCGGCTGCTGAAAAGACGCTGCCGCCCATTTTAGAAAGTTTGGACCAGGATGTGAAGAAGAATGACGGCTACTTCCGCGATGGTACTCTCTCTTGGGCTGATTTAACATTCGTTGCTCTGCTCGATTATTTCAACTTTATGTACAAGAGTAATCTGATCGAGAATTACGAGAATCTGAAGCTGCTGGAGAAAAGGGTCCTCCGTCTGCCCACGATCAGAGACTGGTTTGAGAGACGCCCAGTTAGCGAATACTAAACTTCACGATTGCTTATGGTTTTATAAGTGTTTAGAGATTGCAGTCTTAGTTGCTGTGTTTAGAAAATGAAGAACGAATCGTGTTGATGTTTGTATGGAATATACTGATTGCTTTTAACATTCATTAGTTCCAGTTATTACCGATATTTTTGTCATTTAGATAGGGTTTTCCCTTTAGATTATGTTGCGATAGAGAACTATTATTTGTGTATTCCTACAGAAACATACGAACTATATAAACTGTTGACACGATGTTCTGCTTTTGTAGTATAGAGATAATAATAAAACCATCAAACAATCATTAATTATGTTTTTTATTATATTCATTAAGAATTGAAGATTACCTCCTTGGTGATCTTGATAATATCGTATTTTACAAATGTTGAACAAAAAAAAATGTATGATTATTTTATTCAATACGTTATGAGGGGTGCTTTAAAAAAAATACGAGTTATATATTTCTTTGAAAAAAGCATGATTTTTATCGATACAATAATGTTCTTCTGTTATCGCTTTAAAGTTGAGTACTTCCTTGATTACACGAGAGAACTCGCCTACATCAAACAAGATACGACCGTGTGTAAAGTAATTAATCTGTTTGCTCGTTGCTAGCTACACATAAGGCTTGCGTAAAAAAAAATATGCATTTCAGTTCAGGCGGAGAATTATGTAGGAAGTCATTTTGTCGATCAATAACTTAGTTAATAAAAGATCAAATTTTCATGTACATAAATGTAAGTAACGTTCAAGTATTAATCATTACATACAATTTTTGTATAATTCGATATCTTGGTCACTAACATCTTACAAATGATATATAGATAATATTTATGAGATACATTGGAGCTATCTTTTAGTTAACGCCATTTTTTCTTGTTTTCTCTGTACTTTTACTATTCTTCCAAAGATATCAAAGGATCGATGACTTCAAATTAAACTAGAATTGCTTCGGTATATTGTCAATCAATGGCTATTTGTATTCACATCTATATCAAAGGAAAACCGATTGCAAAATTAATTACCCATGCAACTCCGCAATCTGAAACTATATGTGATCGACCTTGAAGATGAAAAATCTCAATGTTTGAAGTAGTACAAAAAGATGATAATTTAATTTCGCTTTATCAAACTGTACAAAATTTGTATACACATACAGAAAAAAAACGGAGTTCAAACATTAATCAACATGAATTATCGGTTATTATTGCTGAGTAATTATTAGGATTAGAGTTTTGGAGTATCGATCGTATTGAGTTTTAACTATCGGTTTCCGCAATTTATTGTTTTTCTAAATTATGTTTAAATGGTATCAGTTTTTGAATATTTTATAGTTTACACTCCAATATACTGACGTAAGCTATCGAAAATAATTGTAAATTATGCAATATCATTTTTTTATATTTCATAATCTAAATTTCAATCTATTTTTTTGTATTTAACATCCCTTTTTTATTGTTCGTGTTCCGTCTTGTACGTTCTTCAAAAAATCTTAAGCTATTAATTCATGAATGTTATGCTCTATTTCAAAATATAAAACGAGAGAAAGAAGTTAGTAAAATATTCTTAATATTTTATTTTCACCCTACATTGATTTGTATAAGATTGCGCAATCGATATCTGGTATACTTATATTTCACTGCTTACTTAAAGAATCGGTCGATATTACCTTATTTGGATACATATAAATAAATAGATAACATTATCTTTAAATATTATTACACCAGTGATAAAGTTAAAATCATCTTACGAAAGAATGACTGTACAAGATTCTTATTGGCATTATTAATTCTAAAAATTTGGACCGTACCGACAATTTTATTTAGAAAGTTATCTCATCTCAACACGTTTCTCAACATATCAATGTTGTTGATCATTCTAACAAAACTTCTTGATCAAAATAAACGATTACGAGGACAATTATCTTGTTTTCTATCTCTTGTTTTTTTAAAGATTTATAATCTTTCGTAGCCTGATTTTTAATGACTTATAATCATATTAGTTATTAATTATTAAATTGTTATAATTATATAGCTTTAACTCCGAAATTTCTGTAAAAATAAAGCTGAAGAATTTCAACCCGTTCAATAAACTTAATTTTTTTATAATATGAAAAGTATCATAAAATATCGAGATATGGTAAACGCGAAATCATTTTTCGTGAAGGACTCTAAAAGTTACTCTATGTGGTGTAACACACAATTACTCTATTGGGTTACTGATTTTTTGCTATCTCCATGATTTGCAAAATTTTGCCGCTCCAGAAACCCGACAATCTGACATTATGAAATAGGCCTAACCTAACCTCAATCTAGAAAGTGGCTGGTTAGATTATTGCAATTCGTCCAATTTTATTATTTACTATTTTCAATTAAAAAGAGGGCATTGACTTTTCATCAAATTATAATCAAAACATATTTTCTATCATCAACAATTTGTTAACTTTGAAATTAACCATCTTTCACATAACTTATCGTTATGTGCGTAATAAATAAATAATTTGCAATCTACTAGAAAATTTAGCCTTGCCGATGAAACCGAGTATAGAAAAGTGGAATCTTATCTCCCTTTTCAAACAATGAGTCTTTTTAGCGGGCTAAACAATATAATTACAATAAATATTGCTCGTAACCGTAACGGACGTCATTCAACGCCCCAATAGATCGTTTAGTTCATAGACTTTTTTTATGATACCCATTACGAAGTGATTTACTTATTAACAAAGCTGTGCCACGAAGGATGTTACTCTATCAAGAAATTCTAGTTGATTCTGCCATGTACGCTATCGCGATTTATCACACGAATATCATTCAGCATGGTGGGGAGAACGATATTCTCGGAGAATTACAAGAACTATTTATATGAAGCTCATGGTCGGTAATTCAAAGCAGTATTCTACGAGAGATCAACGTGTCTAGTTCACGTTCCAGTCTAAAACATCGTAAGTCTTTTATGTCTCAATACCATTTTTCACGTAATAAAGGTTCTGCAAAAGTTTGTACTTTGATATATTTGCATCGTGGCAATGTAACATCAGGCTTTATTTTCGAAATTTATTAATAGGTTATATTCTATTGTAAATTAAAAATTAAATTAATTTGAAATTTCATTTAAATGCTGCTATTGCGTGATAAATAATTTTCTTCCCAAACTTCAAATAATAATCGTATTTTCAAAGGAAGCTTTATAATTTGTACTCTCTCGATATTGACAGAAACCGAAGGTAATTAACTTCGCGAACGATGTTTGATTTTATATCATCAGTTAGAAGTTCAGAGTATTTCATTGGATATATTGATCCATGTTCGTTTAGCTGGAGAGAAGCGACAGGTTTCATTCAGAGCCACTCTGAAGTTTCGCACAACTCTCTTGCGCAATATTGCGCAATTCGCTATTATGTCCTTAGAAAAGTAGGAAATTTGAAAATTTGATAAGTGTTCTCCAGTCTTTGCAAATTTCGTCAATTGTTTTTCTGTGATTTCTAAATATCAGAGATAAAAAATAGACGGTTACATATATTTTTATAAACTTTAAACAGACATTTTAATAAAATTAATAAATTAATAAATGAATTAAAATATCAATCGATAGCATGTGTTCTTTATCGCATAGCTTTTATGTCCTTTCTGTTTATTGACATTATAACTATAGTAATGTATGCGTCAGCGTAAAAAAATAAATTTTATTAGCCGGCTAGTTGTTATACTCGTATCATTAACGGAACTAATGTTAGAAACCGCGAACCTTCACTTCGTTTATCATGTTCAATGTCACGGATCATAAACATGAATTTTAACGTAATAGTGAGTTACAAACTACTAAGTACAAGGTTTCTTTTAGAAGATATTAATGAATGTTGCGCTAATTTGAAGTACTTGAACAATTAGAATCTTCTACTGTTAGACAGCTACACTTTTTCAGTTTGACGGGCAAGAGTTTATTTAAACTAACATTAGCAATAATTAAAAATTTCATTCAATGGCTGAATTTCGATTCTTTTTTATGCGAGGGCGTTGCAATTATACATATTTACAATCGAATTTTCCTTGTTCAAAGAGATCAACTTTGAATCTTCAACTTCTAAACCTGAGAATATTCAGTGCTTCAAATTTCCCATTTTACGAATATTACAACTTCTAAATATTTAAATTGTCAAGCACCACGAATTTCAAATATTACAATTTTTCGATTTCCTCAATCGTTATCTTTTTTAACTCTCTAACTTTTTAATTTTTATTTCAAAAATACTTGAAGTAGCGTTTCAGTGAAGTGCAGAGTATTATTCATAGATATCTAACATAAGACTTCATACAATTTATAACATACGTTAGGTGTTTACCTTGCGAAGGTAACAATAGATAATCAGTGACGAGACTTAGATGGCAACATTATTGTGCCAACAGCGATTGCGTGTTTCATATAACGTGAATCACGACAAAGATATATCGGACGTACGAGCAATACTGCAACTCATGATATTATTAAAATAAAACTGTTCAGTTACCTACGTACAAAGTTATATAAATAAATTTTAGAAAATTATATATATATATAATTATATATTCTAATATAATAATAATAATATATAATATATAATATAATAATATTCTAATATATATATATATATATTTGGAAATATTATTACAAAATTTTCAAACTGATTTCTATTATAATGAGTACGATCTTAGATTAATCTCCCTCGTGAGAATATAAACGAAGGATAACTCTAGAAGAACATTGCTTTAGACATTACTCTAGACGTCTCATCTAGAACATTACTCTAGAAGCAAACCAATACAAAATAATATTAGAAAATTTGAGTACATCAAATTATGTTTGTTTAATACAGGAAATGCCCAGCTACAGATTGACTTACTTCAACATCACTGGCCTTGCTGAACCAATTAGGCTGGTTTTGCACCAAAGTGGAATTAAATTTGAGGACAGGAGGCTCACTCAGGATGAATGGCCGGAAGTTAAAAAAGGTAAAAATTCAAAACTCTAATATATTAATTTCATACTTATATGAAGTTTACGCTTTTCAACAGTTTATGTTACAAAAGAACTTTTAAGATACAAGTTCAGATTACATAAAAAATGTAATTTGACGAATACTTGATTCAAAATTAATAAATGTCCAATGGGGTCTCGATGGAAGACTTTTTTAAGACTTCCGTATAAACTGTATAAATAACGATATTATATTTGACTCCTGTCGAAGATACGTAATCTCTACGCTATGTTTCCCAAAGAGCAAATCAAGAGCCTTGATTTTGATAAATGTTTGAATTCCTCTGTTCACATGTAA